TATATTTTGGTTCATTTACTCCTACTCATCCGATGTGGGACTTTGGAGGAATCCAACAAACCTCCCCTCATCCAAGGACCACACAACTTCCGACCTCCCCTCCAGCGGTAATCCCTTTTTTTTTCTCTTTATCTGCTAACCATCTTGCACCGCCGCACACTCTTTGCGGGACACGCCGCCCGACCTCCTATTGGGAAGACTTTCGACGCAAGGCTCGAACTGCAGATCTTTCCTTCACTGGGCTACACCATTTGATCCGCCAAATCATCTTGTACCGCCGTGACTATAACTTCACGGGACGCGCCGCCCGACCTCCTCTCGTCGGGAAGACTTTCGACACAAGGCACCACCTGCAGATCCTCTTTCTCGGTCTTGGTCCTAGTTACACCGTCACACCAAGATTTTTTTTTCACACTGCACAGTCCGCTACTCCCGCCCGCAAGAACCTGGGCTCCGATACCACATGTTGGGACTGCGCGTGCCCTCACCCCAACCCCGCATTAGTATGATATTGTCCGCTCTGGGTCAAACCCTACATGTTGGGACTGCGCGTGCCCCCCAAAAAGGATGGGTCGTACCGTTTTTGCGTCGACTACAGAGCTTTAAATGCTGTTACTATTCCAGATCACTTTCCCATTCCGACCACCGATGAGCTCTTCGACGAATTGGGTCACGCACGGATCTTTATGAAATTGGACCTGCGCTCGGGGTATCATCAAATTCGCATGAACGACGCTGATATCTTCAAAACTGCCTTTCGGACGCATGATGGCCATTATGAATTTTTGGTAATGCCCTTCGGGCTCACCAACGCCCCGTCCACATTCCAAGCCGCTATGAACGACTTGTTTCGGGCATATCTTCGACATTTCGTTATCGTTTTCTTCGATGACATTTTGATCTACAGCCCCACACCTGAAAGCCATGCCGAACATCTCCAATTGGTCCTCACTACCCTTCAGATAAACTTCTTCTTCGTCAAACTGTCGAAGTGCTCCTTCTGCCAAACTAAAATCGATTATTTGGGGCATGTCGTCACTGCCTGAGAACTGCAGCCCGACCCGTCCAAAATTGACGCCATGGTATCTTGGCCGAGACCCACCTCTGTCTCGCACCTACGCGGTTTTTTAGGCCTTACCGGCTATTATCGCCGCTTTGTGGCGGGGTATGCCATGCTTGCCGCTCCCCTCACAGATCTCTTAAAAAAGGACAATTTTGGCTGGAATGATGCGGCCGAGACAAGTTTTGCACGCTTAAAGCACGCCATGGTAACAGCCCCTGTTCTTCAATTGCCAGATTTTAACCTCACTTTTTATGTTGAGACAGATGCCTCCGATGCCGGTATTGGTGCTGTCCTTTTGCAACGGGGTCATCCGTTGGCATTTTTCAGTAAGAAACTCGGCCCTAGACGGCGCGCCGCGTCTACATATCACAAGGAACTCTATGCCATCGTCGAATCCGTACAAAAATGGAGACAATACCTCTTGGGACGCGAGTTCGTGATCCGTAGTGACCAACGTAGTTTGAAGGATCTCCATGGGCAGGTTATACAAACCCCAGAACAGCAGTTCTACATTCGCAAATTAATGGGGTTCAAATTCCGAATCGAATACAAGACGGGCGCTTCCAACAAGGTGGCCGACGCTCTCTCTCGTCGTGACTCCGTGCCGGACGCGGGGATAGAGGATACTGTACAGCTTTTCTTGGCTTATGCACAACCCATGCCATTACTTTTACAGGATATCCGCAGGGACAATGATACTTTGGAGGATTGCCAGACCCTACACAAGGCAGTACATCAGGCCAACGCCCCTCCCCACATCACTCTCCATAATGGCCTGTTATATTACAAACACCGGCTATACATCAGTCCGGAGTCTCCACTGCGTCAAAAACTACTCCACGAGTTCCATAGCACTCCCCTGGCGGGTCACCAAGGGGTTGACCGGACTTTTAAACGGCTGGCTGACGTCTTTTATTGGTGCGGCATGCGTCGTGACGTACGCCAGTTTGTAGCAGCATGCTTACCATGTCAAGCCACCAAATACTCGACACAAAAGCCCGCCGGGTTATTACAACCACTTCCCATTCCAGATCGGGTGTGGGAGTCAGCTTCCATGGATTTCATTACCGGGCTGCCACTCTCTCACGGGTTCACTGTTATCATGGTTGTGGTGGACCGGCTGTCTAAATATGCCCACTTTGGTCTCCTACCGACTGGTTTTACTGCTCCTAAAGTGGCGCAGGTCTTCCTCGATATCGTCGTCAAACACCACGGTTTTCCGCCGACAATTGTTTCCGATAGGGATGCGATCTTTATGAGCTCTTTTTGGAGGGAGTTGATGCGGATGAGTGGTACAGCTCTAAAGTTTAGCACCGCGTACCATCCCCAGACGGATGGCCAAACAGAGGTCATGAACCGTGGACTTGAACAGTACCTCCGAGCATTCACCTTTGAACGGCCAAAGAAGTGGGCTACTTTCATTCCTTGGGCAGAACTGGCTCTCAATTGTGGCCACCACGAGGGCCTCAACATGTCACCATACCAGGCCCTTTACGGCCATCCCCCTCCTCACCTCTTTCCCACCTTGGCCGTGCGTGCCCGCGACCCCACCATTGAAGAAATGCTCCGAGAACGGGCAGAGGTTCTCACTGATATACGGCATAACCTCACCAAAATGCAGCAGCACATGCGCGAGAGGGCTAACCGTCATCGTCGTGACCTTACTTTTCAGGTGGGCAACCGCGTTCTCCTTAAGTTGCAGCAGTATCGGCATCACTCCTTAGCACGCCCTCAATCGTCCAAGCTTGCACGCCGATACTATGGGCCTTTCGAGGTGATTGAGCGTATAGGCCCTGTGGCGTATCGTCTCCAGCTTCCCGAAGGGTGCAAAATCCATAATGTATTTCATGTGTCATTATTGCGCCCTTTTGTTTTGGGAGGTCAGCCGCTGCCCAAGCCCACACTGCCGACGAATGTCTACAGAGGAAAGGAGGTGGCTATACCCATTTCGGCAGGTCCTAGCCGCACAGTGCTCGTCGACGGCATTCCGCAAGAACAATGGCTCATACGATGGTCAGATGATGGGGGTGCCGCTGCCACCTGGGAGCCCATGGAAAATATTCGGAAGCATTTTCCTCATCTCGACCTTGAGGACAAGGCCGCTTTCAACCCCGGGGGAGTTGATACGGTCGTAGTACGGGGCGAGGACACACTTGATACGGCCCATGTGGAAGACAGCCCAACAAACGAGGCCCATGCAGTGTGTGACGACCCACTACGTGGGGATGAGCCAACAGATGAAGATCGAGAGGATTCAAGGCTGCTTGGGCGTCCACGAAGACAGGCGCGACGACCAAAACGTTACGACGATTATGTTTAGTATTTAATTATTATGTTTCCTTTATTTTTTGTAATCTAGATTTTCTTAGGAGAGCGGGTTATAAGCTCCTTCANGGAAGACAGCCCAACAAACGAGGCCCATGCAGTGTGTGACGACCCACTACGTGGGGATGAGCCAACAGATGAAGATCGAGAGGATTCAAGGCTGCTTGGGCGTCCACGAAGACAGGCGCGACGACCAAAACGTTACGACGATTATGTTTAGTATTTAATTATTATGTTTCCTTTATTTTTTGTAATCTAGATTTTCTTAGGAGAGCGGGTTATAAGCTCCTTCAAGGGTTTTCTTTTCGGTTCTTTCCCTTGACGCTTTTTTTGAACCGACAGGATTAGGATTAGGGTTTTCTCTCCTCTATATATAGAGAAGGCTTCATGTTTTAGAACGGCAAGAAAATAATACAACCTAGTTTAGTAATTACTTCTCCTAGTTCTCTCCTTTTCACGTAACAGCCGGACTCCCTGCGCCAACCCGCCGTTGCCGCCTAGGGTTTCGACCTCCATCGTACCGGCGCTCTTTTACCCTATCAGAGTGTGTTTATCTCTTATCCCTGATTTGGAATTTATCCCATTCTTCCTAAACCCATCCTTCTCTCTTGATATTCCACTCTTCTTCAAATTATCAAAAAAAAACCCAAAAAGAACTCCTCACCATCTCCATATTTCGTCCAGCCCATTCCCAACTTATACACCTCCATTTTCTTCCCATTTCCAAGCCTAAAAACATCAACTTGATAAGACCCCCCGGTTCACCCCTAACATTTGGCATCAGAGATCAACTTCGACGACTTTCTGAAGTTTCGACGATTACCCGGAGGACCAGCTTCACTCACCTTGCACAAAAACAAGACTGCTGAAAATTGCTCCTGAAAATTTCAGTCCCAAAGAAGTGATCACGGGGGAAGGTGCAAAACTGATTTCAAAGTGGAACTTTCCGGTTTGGAAGTTTATCCTTTTATCTTCGTCTGGCCGCTGATTTCACTCAATTCCGAGTTACAGTTCGTGAGATACGTCCATCCAAAGTTAAGAACGCAACTCTTCCAACAGCCTGGCAACCTTGCTACTTTGGCCAAAGAAACACCCAAAACCCACCACCACCACCTTGTTTACTTCAGCCAACCCCACGCCAAACCACCCAAAAACCAAGCCAACCAACCAGCTGCAGGAAAATCCCCTCTCCTTTCTCTTTTGTTCACCCAAACCACCCAACAATCTCTCCTCAACAAACCATCTCCCTTTCTTCATTCCTTGCTGCCCAAAAACCAGCCCCTACAACACCTTTTTTCCCTTTTGATCATTTAAGCCATAGCTACTGCCCTTCCTTATCCTAACCTTTCAAAGCCACCAAAGTATATCTCACACCATCCAAAATATGTCCCATGAAGATCTAGCTGCTGATCAAAAGAAACTAAAGAAAGAGCTTGATCTTTTGATGAAGAAGATTGGAGAGTTCAAAAATTCTGTGGATATCCCCACGTTTGAAGGAAGGAATGACCCGGAGAAGTTCTTAAAAGTGTTAGCTAAGGTTGAACACGTCTTTACACTCAAAGACATACCCGAAGACAAGAAGGCCAAGCTAGTTGTGGCGAAGTTTCAAAAACATGCCTCCACTTGGTGGGCTAGCGTTGCTGCAAAACGAAGGCTCCAAGGAAAAGCTAAGGTGAAAACTTGGGAGAAGCTACGAATGCTCTTAACTAAAATATTTTCTTCCAAAGATCATATCCACCAGGTAGCCAAAAACACTCTCACTTTTACATCCAAAAATCCTTCCAAAGCATTGCCACTGCCCTCACAACAAAGTTTCCAAAAGCCACTCCAAATCACCATATCTCCCACGCCCTTAACCACCTCTAAATCCCAACCTTTAGAAACTTCCCAAGCTGCCCAAAACACTCCCGAAGCAACCACCACCTTCAAAACTCAAACTCCCTCTAAATTCCCCTCTCTACCTTGCATCCATGCTGTCCAAAACATCTCTCATCCAATTCCTTCTCATCTACTCAAAAACCCAACTCAAACAACCTCTTTACCTTCCCTAGCTACTTATCCAAAATGATCCCAACACCATTTCAACACCTTTGCCCCAAAACTCTCCTAAAACCACTTCTATAGCCTCCCCACAAACTACCCAAAGCATCTCCTTCACCCTCATGGTTCAAAATCCTCCCAAAACCATAGCCTCTTCACCAAATGACATGGTCACAATCCCACCAAAATCCAGCCCAACCATTCCGAAGAAATATCATTGCTTCCATTGTCAAAAGATTGGTCATTATGCTTTTGAATGTCCAAGAAAGAATCAAAATTCCTTGGTCAAGAATGAAGAGAAAACAGAATCTTTGGGACCAAAGGAAGGACAAGAAGATGTTAAGTGTCTAGGCCAAGATGAAGATGAACTCCTGGTCATTGATAGGATATTGAGTAGTTTGGCCCATTCTCATACTCATTTGGCTAACCAAAAGGAGGATGGTCTGTTTATCACCATGAAAGGAAGTTGTGTCAAGGTGATACCCAAAGCAATGGTTGTGGTGCTTCCCATCAATCCGGTGTATTTCCCAAGATCATATTCAATCCACTGCCCAAATTAAGGAAAGCCGTGGGTATTTGATCCCATTGTTTCTCTTAATGGATATGAAGACACATGCTCATCCCTTATGAAGAAATTGGAATTGACAAACATATATGTGCCAACTATCAGCCCCATGTGTCGTCCTAAAGAAGAGAAAGACACTCGTTTAACTCCCCAAAAGTTTTATGAGAAGAAGACTCAAAGTGGAGTCATGAGCCAAGATCCAGGAGCCTCACCTCGAAGGCTATCTTCACTAACAGTACCTTATACCAAGTTTGTTAAGTTTTTGTAGGTTCCATGTGATGAAGGAATACAAGAAACCTCCGAGTTTTATCGTAAGACTCGTAAAAAAATTGAGAATAGAAATGAGGTTTAAAGTCGCATCTACTTTCAGCCCGGAGACCTAGTGTGGGTCCATGTGCAAAGAGAGCATATCTCTAACAAACGCAAGGCAAAGCTTCAACCCCGAGACGATGGTCCATTTAAAGTGGTAGCCAAGGTCAAAAACAGTGCCTACGCGGTTGCTCTCAATAGAAGTGATGGAGTTTCTGCCACGTTCAATAAGAGAGACCTTAGTCCATATGACGGTTTTGATTATCCGTTGAGTTTGAGGGCAAACTCTTTTGAAGACCGGGAGGATGTTATACCCGATCCTAGCCCCATGAAACTCTCACTCATGCCTTACACTATCATAAGAACCAAAGGACTTATATTCAAATATTATTATCCATATTAGTTGAATTCAAAAGGACCTTAAACCCGAAAGGCCAAAACAGCCTCCGTTTGACCCGAGGGTTCTGTGGTTTACTCCCATTTCAGTCCAAACCATCCCAAAACATCCAAAAACACTTTATACTTCCCTTTTTATTCAAATAAAGTCTTCCCCCACTCATTTCAAAGCCCTTGGCCGAAAATGAGAAGAAAATAAAAGCCAAAACCTTTGTTTGTTTCTTTTAAAGTCCTTTTACCCAAATAATGTCTTTCCTCTTTATTTCCTACAACTAGGGACCAAAATCCTTTCCATTTTATCCATAAATCAGGCCCCTTTTCAAAGGATAGAAGTCATAAAGTTGAATAGTGAAAATTTGTCCTTTTGTTGACTTATTTCACATCCTTGCACCCATGATCTTTCCTTGTCATTTCTTACCATATAGGGCCAAAATTCCTTACACAAAAATCAGGGAAAATCTCCTCTTAAACCCCACAATTCCCCACCCTTGACCTTAGATACTAAAGGCCGAATCCATCACACACAACAAGCCAAGGGACATTTCCATCACAGCCACTTAGTGTTCCCTGTTGTTTTCTTCACACATGGCCGAATTTCCTCCTTAAAAACAGGCCAAGAAACATCTCAAAATATCTCTCATTAGTGGCCGGATAATCATCACAAAACCAGCCAAAGGAATCCATCATCTTAGTCATGAATTTAACTCA